TGTTTATTTCCTTTTAAATAAATAGTTGGTACCCAATTATTTTATTTTAATTTATTTAATTTATCCGTTTGCGCTGCAACTACAGAATTATCCAAATTATTTTATTTTTATTTTGTTACAACATCGAGCCTTTGGGAACCGAGTTTGGGTCGTGACAGTACGAATAGCGGCGTTGAGACAAAGTGTCTCAATAACTTGATCACTGCAAGTGTTGTAACGCCCCAAAAATTTATAATCATACAAGTACCCTGACCAACGTTCATTATAAGAAAAGATGTAATTCATCAACATTTACATCATTGATCATTGAGGTTTGTACAAAATTGTTCCACATGCGAATTATACATTAAATGATATCAAATACATGAATCTATAGCATGTAGAACATTAGATCAAAAAATAAATAAATAAATGCCCTCAAGACTTACAAATTCAAAGGCTTAAGCCCGATTACACAAAAATGGTCTCTCAAACCCATACAATTATAGCCCTTGGCTAGCAAAAATACATCACAACAAAAGAGGAGCCATATGCCCTCAACAAATATGTCCACGCCCTAATTCGGCAGAATTACCACATTCTTTCCTACACCAAAATTCTATAGGGGTGAGCATAAAGCCCAGTAGAAATTTCTTAACAAAGTATATACATTTTGTACAAGTTTCGCAATGTGATATGCACATGCCATGATACGATTTTAAAGGAAAAATCACATTTTTTTTACATCTTTTGAAAAATCATCATGCTCAATGATAACTTGAAATCTCAACAATTCGAAATTTACAATTTAATTCAAAAGGACGGTAAATACGACTCAGGTAATCCCTAGGTTGGTGTCAGCAAGTAAGTATAACTAGCACTACCAAAACCCCACTTTACCGGTTGCTAACCAGAAGGGAAGTGGTACCTTTTCCGTGCATATTTTCGGTCTTTCACCCCGGACACTTAAGCCAACTTAATCAATTTCATCTACACCTCCTATTCGGACTTACCAACGTATTTACCCCAAAACCATTCCATGAAAACTTGTTTCACAACATTCATTTCTCAATGCAAATGTTTCGAAGTTTAAATTCAAAGCTTAACATAATCAAATAAATCAATATAACAATGTGTCAATTAATAATACAATCAAACATTCCTTCCATTTTCCATCATTCCACACAAATATTACCATTGTGACCAAAATTCCCAATCCTCTTCTCAATGCAATTTCACAAGATGAATATATATATATATATATATACCTTTATTCCAATTCAACCAAAGGATAGCACGTTTCCTACATTTTGAGTATTCTCAACTATTTAGTCAATCCAAGACTATATCAATATTTTGAACATCAATTTCCAAAATTACAATTCTAATATTTCATAAAACTCAACATTTATATAAACATAAAGAAGAATTTTCAAAAAAAATTCATTCATTTTGGCACCCAAAGAAAATATGGTCATTTCATCCATGAATTCTCAACGTCTTTTAAAAACCCCCAAATTTCCTAGGTTTTCTCACCACAACGTTACATCTCCAAAACATTTGAAAGAATCACACAAAAAACATCTTTCTTTTATCAATAAAATTTTTAAAAGAAACTCCCATGTGATTATTTAAAAAGGAAAAGAGATAACCCACTTTCAAATCACTCATCTTCTTGAGCCAACAACAAAATTTCAAGCTATCAAAAGGGATTTCAAAAATCATCTAGATCTTGCAAAAAATATATATATAAATCAAAAAAATTCCTACGTCAATCTTGTTGAAAGAAAAGAGATGAAAGTCCTAAATTTGGTGGTGTTGAAATCCAATCTCCACCGCACAAGATGAAACCCTTGGTTAGCTCTCCAAGATTTGTGAAGGATGTTGGGTCAAAACTCTAAAGGATTTAAGGAAATCAAGGTTTTGATCTTGTTTGGTATAGGAAATGTAGAGAGAATGATGAGAAAAGGCTTTTTAGAGAGAGAGAGAGGCATACAAAGTGATATGCGCACAGCCCAAGAAGAGAGAAAAGCTGGATTTTTCAGACTCAGCGGAGTGTGCCTTCCGCACGCGCGATGCTTCCCGCACGTGCGACCTCACCTCACTTCCCGCACGTGCGCTCCCTTTTCCGCAAGTGTCCCCAAGGTCCCCGCATGTGCGGCTCTACCCTCAGCCCATGAAAATTTTCCACTAAAATGAAAAACTCCTGGATTCAACCTCAAGCCTCCCAAAACAAGCGAACTCGGAATTGAAATAAATAGGGACGAAAATTTGAGAAAGAGATTTTCAAAAGCAATGAACCCAACAGTTGATAAGACTTCAAGTTAGACCCCGATACTCTAACACAATGAATCCCGACATGCACAAGGAAGGTAAGACGGGTTACGCACCCGGTCGTCACAAGTGTTGTCTCCGCAACTTAACTGAAATATTTTTTTTCATGGAACTTGTTCGAACCTTTGACGGGTTGGACCTATTCCGGGCCACTATTGACCCACTTCCCTTGGGTTTTAGCCTATACTCGTTTAGGCCCCGTTTGGGGACTTACTTTTTTAGCCAATTAGCCAAAAAGTTACTAAATTAGCCAAAAAGCCAACAACTCATACCAAAAAGTCAAAGATTCTCTTTTCTCTCTACTTTTTTAATATCTTTTCGTAATTAGCCAAAAAGTCATCCCAAACATACAAGTTTTTTTTACCTACCTTTTTAGCCAAATAGCCAAAAAGTTACTAAATTAATCTATTCTCAAACGAGGCCTAATCATTCTTACTCACCTAGCAGAGGCGACCTCAACACTTAAATCCATATTTAATTTCTCTCTTAATTTCTATCCCTTTACATTTTGTTAAAAATTTATTCAATGTAGATACTTTCATCACATGAACACATTTCAAATCTATCTTTTATATTCATATAATTCTCAATTTTTTTGCTAATCTTTAAATGTTATAAACAATTCTTGCATTTTTGTGTTCTAAATTAGTCAAGTTTGTTACAGAATGTGAACTCGTGTTTTAAAGTGTTTTTTTGGCAGACATTCAGTGTGTTTGGTTTCAGTTTTCTGAATTTAGTTTTTTTGAAAACTATGTTTTTTGTTTTTCTTGTTTTTTTATTTTTAGTGAATATTTTTTTAATTTTAAGATTTTTTTTAAAAACTTTTTTAGATACACCTTACTTAGATATATCTAAATATTAAAATATTTGTGAAAATATATTTTAAAAAATTAATAAATACACAAAAATACGAAAAATGTACTGAATTTTTATTTTTATTTTTGTTGTATTTTTTGGTATTTAGTGTATTTTTTAAATTTTTTTCATAAATATTATACTTTTTAAGTGCATTTATGTTAAGCGTGTCTAATTTTTTTTTTTTTTTATAAAAAATGCTCAAAATATTTAAAAAATTCATTGAAAACATTAAAATACGAAAATTAATAAAGTAGAATTTTCTAAAAACTATTTTATGAAAATCAGAACCAAACAAACTAATTACCTTTTAAATAAATTTTCTCGTAAAATTTTGTTTAGGACTAATACCATATTCACCATTGAATTTAATGAATTATTTTAACAATTGAATAATTCTCTAATTTCGAATTTGTTACTATGATGCCAATTAAACAAGCCTTTCAATTTAGGTGATGAGCTTGTCTTCAGTTGGATTTTCTAATTGAAGCGCCTCGTTGGGCCTTGTGGCTTCATCACGGAACTCATATTGATAATTCAAATAATTCAATATATAAGGTTCGTTGAGTATTTTATTCCTGTAAAAAATTATATTGATCGGATATCAATAGCCACTTGATCAAATCATATTTGTGTTAATAATTTATTTTTAAAATCATAATTACCATTGACACAAATTTGATCTAATCAAATAGTTATCGATATCTAATCAATGTGATTTCTTATAAGAATGAAGTACTTGATGAGTCATAAATATTGAACGGTTTAAATTATTGATGTAGACTCTGTGATGAGTCTACAGAGCCCAATAATACACTCCAATTTAATTTCAGATCGGAGGTAGTAGCCACTAACTTCAAAATAGTGGAGAGGATGTTAGTAAAAGGAAATTGTTTTTTTTAAGAAAAATTTATTAGAAAATTCTCTTTTTTTTAAGTATTTGTACCCCAATTAGTCTATAAGATATTATTATATTCAAATGAGTCTTATTATTTTGGATATTTGATCCGCTAAATTCTAATTATTAGATTTTACCCTTATAAATATTTTTTAAAATCTTAACAACTTGATAATATAAACATTCACATTAAATAAATTTGATAATGTGAAAATTCACGTTAACATTGTAAATGTTTATATCGACAATGTAAATATTTATATCATGGAATATACACATTATCAATGTGAACATTAATGCGCTTCACTCTATTATTATTCGGGATATTTTGATAACTATGTCATAGAATTTATTGTAATATAAGAAAATAATTTGAATTACGGGAAACATAAGTGAAGAATTTATGAATAAATGCTCATTTCTTGTAGTTGTCAAAATAGTCTTGCTTTCTTTCTTTATTTCTTTTCTTTTCTTTTTCTTTAAATATATATAAACATCACTTTAAAATAAATATAAAAATATATATATATATATATATATCTTACTCAAACTGATCTGGTAATGACATTTTTATATTATAAACCAAAATTATAGGTTTTTGTTATAAAATGGGATGGCCATAAAGAGTTGCATCTTTTCTTTATAAAAATTTGTTAATTTTTGGATAGATTTTAATTAAAAGATGGAAGAGAAAGTAATCTTTGTGATGACTGAGAAATCATCACAGAGTAAAAAGAAAAGTTCTTGTATCAGTTTTAAATTTTGACCTAACATTTTCCAATGTTGTATCTTTTGGAGCATCAGAAGGGAACAACATAGAAAAAAGGAAAAATTTATAGACCAAAATCGTGATTTTTTCCTCTTTGAAAAACCATCTAAAATATGAATCATAGAAGCAAACAGTTCTACAAATTGTTATATATATATATATATATTTACCACAAAATGGCATTTTACTCCTCATTTTCTTATCCATGTGATGACAAAACCATAAGATTTCAACTAAAACAGCATGCTTTCTCTACAGCATAACATCAATCCGGTTAACTTGCAAAATGACCTTTCGTAGTTACAAATTGTAGCCTACACAACATACACCATGCCAACCTCAAGGAGAGACACCGGAGGCACCTTAAGCGCTACATCTGGGCCCCGACAATTCCTCCTCAGGAAATTATACCCAAAATTGATGGCCAATCGCTTCATGATCGACGATCCTTGTTTCGCCTTGACATGTGAATGCCCCAGAATGAATGCGGTCCCAGATTGTTGGGCTTCTAACAAGTCTTGCAGCTCTTCTTGCAATTGTGTATTCAGTTCAGATCGTGCATATTCAGAATTGTTGTCGATTGCAAACCTCACTCTTCTTTCCACAACACCAAGGGGCTCCATTTCAATGACATCTGTCATGCTAGCCACGGTTGGGAAGCCAACAGATAGACTTTCTGGCTGCACGCTTTCCTCTATCTCAAAAGCTGGCATGCCAGAGAGTGACACTGTTCCAATCACTGCCAATCTGCACTCACTTGATGATCCACTGGATTGCGACCCATTTTCTCCATTCTCTGGACTAAGACTTTCATGCCTCCGACACCAATCGTAGCGGATAAAATCAGCCAACCTGGCAACAAGTTCGGTTTCAAAAGAATCGACATCCTGGTGAACGTCACGGTACCCATAACGGACAATGCACCTGTAGGACCGATGCGATGCAGGTCCAACACGGCCCACAAGATACCGCTCAGCTGGAGGCACGTGAGGAACAGGAACTGATTTTATACATACAAAGACGAGGACACGGTGGAAGGCAGGTAGGTTGGTGACGAAGCGCGAGAAGTTTGCAGGGATGCCAGAGGTGAGATCAGTGAACACTATGCCAACCCCGGGGACTCGAACAATGCCCAAGCTTGGACCCAAGGCTAGTAACCATTCCAATGAGACTTTGTTGTGAAGGTCATACTCATATTTCTTGATGGTCGTGTAATGCCAAACAAACATGACAGTCACGAGGAAGAGTGCTAGGAGGATGGGGAGCCAAGCACCCTCAAGGAACTTAATGACCGAAGCTGAGAAATACAGTAATTCAATAGAGCCAAAAAAGAGTAGGAAGCAAAGAGCTACTATAGGGGGTTTGTGCCAACAAAGGATTATGACTAAGGAAGTGAGGCACGTGGTCACGATCATCACCGCCATAACTGCTAGCCCTGCAACAGACAATATTAAGATTGTAATACTAGCATCAATATGAAGTTCATGTAAGAAAATGATCCAACTGTGGACAAATTTAAAGCATAATTTACCTGATGCATTGCCCATATGCTTTGTATCTCTGAATCCAATGGTAACAGCAATGCAGAGGATCATGAGCGTCCAGTTGATCTCAGGGATGTAGATTTGGCCGTGTATCTTATCAGAGGTGTGAACAACCTTGACTCTCGGAAAACAACCAAGTGATTGGCTCTGGTTGATGATGGAGAACGTTCCACTTATGATCGCCTGGCTTCCCACTACGGAAGCAAGGATTGCTACTACAAGCACTGGCCACCTCAAACTTTCTGTCAGTGAAAAGAATAGGCTACCATTATGGTTACTTCAATGGGAGGCAACAACGTACTGATCTATGCAACCATTGATTGTACATATAAATGTCTTTGAGCCATTCGACATATGTGGAGAGCCCAAAGCACATCACAATTTGAAGGCAATCTTAAACTAGTATAACAGTGACATCTTTATACCTGGGACTGACACATAAAAATTGATCTGGTTAATGGAATGGTGATGCTTTGACAAGTAGGCAGCTTGACCCATATACGCCAAAATAAGTGCTGGATAAACCAGAAAGGTGAAAGCAATCTGCAATTGGACAAAGAGTAAAAAATAAATTTTGTAAGCAAGAGATATGTTTCAACTTTCAATGGATAGAAAAGATTGTGTGAGCACAAAACATCCAATCCCAAGAAATTAAAGATTCTGGACAAATGTACCTGAATTGCAGTATATGAGAAGTGGCCAAGATCGGCAAACATTGCCTCTGAACCTTCAATTACAATCATAAAAAGTGTTATCATTTATTTATTGTTGAGATATTTTGTTTTTAGTATTGAATGTATGAAACATAAAACATCTGAAAATGTTCATGTTTTGTGCCTGGAGAACATGTCACATAGATTTTATATTCTTGGGATCTGAAATTTACATTAGATGAGTATTTTGAGTGTCAATCCAAATTAGTTCCTTATGAAGACCAGTCCGATGACAGAGCACAACACCTATGAAATTTACATTGGTGTGTTTTTGCTTCATCTAGGTGGCAACAGTGCTCAGAAAGAACGAATACACTTCAAGGACTAGAAAGAAAGCATAGAATTTCCTTGTACAATTGTTTTTAAATCTTACCTGTTATGCACAATAAAATTCCACCCAGTGACATCCATCCACCTTTTCTTGTCTTCTTCAAGAACTTGAACATGTAATATGGGGAGAGAGCTTTATAAACATGTGGGTTCCAGTGAAATATATTGTACAAGCCAAGGGCACTAATGCATATCAGCCAAGTCAACACCACTGGTGCAAAAACGATGCCAACCCGATGTGTGCCATAGTGTTGTAATGCAAATAGACAGATTAATATGATGCAAGTAATCGGAATCACCGCATCTGCAAATGGAGGCATAGATATAGATGTAAGGGGCATAAAGGGTAAAGTGAAACCTGGGACAAACAGAAAATCTCTGCATTTATTTACAAGTGTCCCTAACAAGAAAAAAGTATGAAATTTAAAAGCTTCCAAGCCTAATGTTCTCTAAACACACATACAAAATCTTGCATGCTCATGTAAAATCTAATCTAAAAATTTTTAAATATAATTGCTAAAGGAAAAACATTACTTGGGTGATCTTACGTTGAACTCATATTCCTCAAGTAATATATTTTCCTTTATTTCCTGATGAGGAATGCTAAAGACTCACAATTTAAATCCCTAAATGCACCCACAATGACATGGCAAGGGAGTTGGGCCTTACATGGTTGAATTTGTGACAAATCAAAAGGACATGTAACCTCCTGCCATGTCATTGTCTGTAAAATTAGGGAAGGCTTTTTAGGGGTTTCAATCGTTTTTCAGTCAAGATTATGCAATAAACAAAGGGGGAAATTTCTTGATAAAAGAAGGAAATTAAAATTTTTCCATGGGAGTTCTCTCCAAGGGAAACAAATATTCTTTATTAATAGTAATTCTATTTGTGGTTATAGTTCATAAATTTGTGCAACTATCTTTGGTCAAATCCACAGGAATTATTCAAGTTAAGTAGTAAGTCCCTGTTGGAGTTGCTCAAAATAAGTAATTCCGAGATGGTCAAATTGCAATAATCAACTCAATTTATCTTTAATGTTATGTTTGACCCCCAGCTGCATAATTATATACCTTTTGCTACTCTGTGTGTAAAGATGCATGTATCAGGAAACAGTATTCCCATAGCCCCCCAAAATCAAAAGTGAGGCGTGGCCATTGCAGACCACAACTTGGACAATTTCAATGGTCCCTGCAGTGTGGGCCAATTAGTTTTTGTTTTGTTTTGTTTTTCTTTTTTCTCTTTTCATTTTCGTAGGTCAATTAGTTTTTGTTCACTAAGTGGGTCGGGATAACCAAGTGAATCCTGTTATCCAAAATCACATCCAAACGTTGAAAGCACGCAGCATCTTGACTCCTCTATAGTACCATATACTTTTGTCAAATTTTGGAGACACCAGTTTACTCAAAAACAATGGACCTACAGTTCAACTAAAGCAAAATCTGAGTATTTTCAGAAAAAAAAATAAAATTTAGCATTCCCCACCCCTGACTGAACAGCAGGAGGCTGCCAAAATAAAACACAGAAACAACAATTACGAATTTAAAAAAAATGTTTCGTAAATCTTTGATGCTTCTACAGATTTCTATAATGAAATTAATCATAAGAGAAAAATGCACAAGTAGCATAATCTCGCCTTTGAAAGCCAACTTGAAAAAAATTAGGCAGTTAACAAGATTGTCATCTTAACTACCTGAAATCTTCTTCTCTACAGACAAGAACACAGGATTAAATATTAACTAATAATTTCATTGCATGCTTGAAACTTACATTCTCGATGTTCCTTAGACATGGATAACTCGAGGCCAGAAACAGCAGTGAAAACTGCAAAACAAACAGGTAGTCCGAAAATTAGGAAGAAATGATAACAAACAAGTTAGAAATTGTCTACCAGGAAAGAGAAGTACCTGACATGGCTGGAGTGAGCAGTCCATCTCCAATGACCATACATGTGCCAAGAAGAACCAGGATTAGCAAAGCAGTGTGCAAAGATTTGTGTTTCTCAAGAAACAATTTCACTATCGAGCTGCTCTTCTTGTCAGGATGGTGCTCCAGTTTATACGTGGAGAGTGCTTCATCTGCAACTTGTCGGTTAGGCAAAAGACCTACTTTAGCATGCCTGCAGATTAGGGAATAGAGGGCAAAAGTACCACCTGAAAAATTATGCACAAGAGAATTCAGTTTAAAGACAAAATTATTTTATTTGGGTAATTCTCAGATCGACAATGCTACGTAGCTCAAATTTTGTGGCTCAAAAGTGGCTCAAATGGCCGCAAATTTTTGTGGCTCAAATGGCTCCAAATGGTCAAAACGACGTCGTTTTGAGTACAGAACAACATAAAAATGGCCAAAACAACGTCGTTTTGGCCATTTGAGCCACTTTTGAGCCACAAAATTTGAGTTACGAGACATTTTCCTTCTCCGATTATTCCACTGCTCACCCTCCCCATTGTCATCAGCTCGAAGAACCACAAAGACATATTTGAACAATGGAACTAGAGTTAGAGTCCAGAAAACAAACGAAAGAACACCAAAAATCTCTTCGTTTGTCTCCGAGTGATGAATGTCTTCGGCAAATGTGTTCTTGTAAACATAAAGAGGGGAAATGCTCAGGTCCCCATAGACTACACCAAGACTTTGATAAGCTAAGAGCAGAATTTTCTTCCAAGAATCCTTCTGAAACACAATTCAGCAATCAATTTCTCTCAGACCTGATCAGTTAAGAAAGCATAGTAGAAATCCAAAGATGTAAATGTAACACCATTCACGCATATTATACAACTTATTGTCGAACCATATAGGAAGAAACTTCTCAAGGTTTAGGGATCATAATTATTTGAAAACACAAATCACTGTACATGAAACAAAAGTTGTGGAAAAACCTTTGATGTACCCCAACACTTTCCGCAATCAACATCCATACTCCTTAGTTGTCAATCTTCAAACTGAATTTTTGTTGGTGGAGACAGATAGATGCAGATCCTCACTAAAACAACAAAAAAATTGAAGGTGTATAGAATCAAAATTTATACACAGAAATTTAAGGCACATTTCGAAGGAGCAGCCAAAGAGACAGACTCATATCTCTACTTTATCCTGTCTAGAGGAGATAAAAGCAACACACTCTCAAATTCAATAAAGAAACCACATGACATACATACCTTCATCATTCTCAGCAACCTTTTAGCAGGCTGACATTTGTGAGAAAATTCAAGAAAGCAATACATATCAAAAATGAAAAGTGAATGCCACAGACCCAGAATTATTCAGACGCAGCAGATCCCTTAAAATTCAAGGGTACAAAATTTTATTTTTTCTCTAAACCTTTTATTTTTTATTCTTGTTCTTTAGCTCTTTGATGAGAAAGGAAAGGAATAGACAGCTCACTGTTGTCCCCAAATTAAGCGAAAGAGACCAAGACGAAATGTGCAACTCTTGAGCACAATTAACCCAACAAACATAAAAATCATGGGCCAAAAAACTACAGAGAATATTTATATATAACAGTTCACTATAAGCAAAGTGAAATTTTCACAGGAAAAACAAAGGGGGAAAAAAATGAGGGAGAGAATGTTTAAAAAGTGAAAGTAAAGATTGTGATTGAGAATGACCACCACAATCACATGACCCAATGACAGTTGAGTTATCAAATCCATCCCAACAAGATGAGCCCTGGGAAATAAAGGCTATTTCCCTATACATATTGTTATCTAGACTAATAAAATTTACGACAATGCTACGTAGCTCAAATTTTGTGGCTCAGAAGTGGCTCAAATGGCCAAAATGACGTCGTTTTGAGTACAGAACAACATAAAAATGGCCAAAACGACGTCGTTTTGGCTATTTGAGCCACTTTTGAGCCACAAAATTTGAGCTACGAAACATTTTCCTAAAACATATACAACAATGCTAGGTAGCTCAAAATTTTGTGGCTCAAATCACTCAAAACAACGTTTTGATTGTAAATGAGTGTAAAACGACGTCGTTTTGACAGATTTGAGCCATTTGAGCCACAAAAATTTGAGTTACCAAACATTTTTCAAATACATATTGTTACATACATTAACACTATGTTTGGAAATCTAGGAGAGAAAAGAAAATAAATGATTACTTTAAGTAATAAGAGAAAAGAAATGAAATGAAATGATTGTGATTTCTTTTATTTTTGTTTGGATAAGGAAGAAATAAAAGAAAAAAAATGATTGTGATTTCTCTTATCCTTGTTTGGTTAGGTTTCATTAAGAGAAAAGAAAAAAAAAAATTATTTTTTATTATATTACCAAAATAACCTTTCTATATTTTCAATCATTTTATTTCTTTTATTTTTATGGGGACAAAATTGATATTATGAAAATAGTGATTTCTTTTCTCTCCTAATCTCTCCACTTTTGGGAAGATTGAAAATGAATCTTATAAGAGAAATGAGTTTCTCTCCATTTCTCTCCATTTCTTCCCATTTCTCTCTACTTATCTTATCTAAACAAATAAGAGAAATACATATCACTCAATTTCTTTTCTTTTCTCTCCAAATTACTCAACCCAAACATAAAAATGAAAAAAAGATGACTGGGTTCCCCAAAATCCCACCAACCAGAGAAAAATATAAGTTAAAAAGATTGAAAACCAATGGAATAAGCATAGTGCTATTTGTGCTCCCTGTAAATTATATAGAGATGGGTCAAGTGTAAATCAATCTGTAGACTTTTCTACTTCCTTTATAGTTCACAAATCTGGAAAATAAACCCAACCCAAAATCCCTAAAGAAAATGAACAAAAAAAAGTAAAGAGAAGTATCATAAGGATTTACTTGAGAAGTATTTAGATCTACAATGAAGATGAATACAATGAAGAGCCACATGATTAGAACATGCTGGCTCCTCTATTAACCTAAAAAAAATGGAACACAACCCACCAACCATACCCACTCCTTCCCTAACTTCCATTAAAGTGTTCTTGTTTTGCTGATTTGGGTAATTGGGTCCCCATTTGTGTCCTTTTTTCAGTTGCTTGATTGGTACCACTCTCTGTTTGATTTCCGAGAAAATGACTTGGATTTGAGAAAAATCAGAGGCACAAAACCAAGTTTCTTACAGTCATATTAATTGAAGATGAAGATCCCCCATTACCCTTAATAATCGAGTTGGTACCAGTTAAGCACTGATTTAAGAACAAACAAAAAAAACCCAGAAAAACACTTGAAACTAGAATTTCTTTTAGTACTAGTAGTGGGGTTGGGACTTGAATTGTCTGGCAATGTAGAGGAGGGCTTATCCGCCATTAATGCAACTAATTTTGTCAGTTACAAAAAAAGAATCGATTTATATACTGTGAATACACATGCATATATATACAACTCACTTGTATTCTGGTCCGCCATTGGAGAGACTCTGAAGCTCAAAGTAAAAAGAGTGAGGGAGAGAATAGGGAGTGAGTGTGATAAGTGTGTTAATATATACAATTCATAGTTTGGTTAATATATACATGTACAAAGATTACAATTGTATAACCTTTGTATGTAAGATCACAGAAATTAAACACAACCATTGAATAAAGCATTGGAAACTACTTTGATAAAACAAATCCCAAGGTTATATAGTTGTCATGGCTAAATAATCAATACAAAATAAGGAACAAGATTTGCCCATGGTTGAACCGGAATCAACCATTATTGATGAGAACTTCATGAATCTGCCTTGAAAGTTTATCTTCTCTACCTTTTTAGCCGTTCTCTATGGTTGAAGCGCCCTTTTTTTTCCTCTTTCTTTTGAGTTTGGAAACCATATATATAGTCTCCAGCACATTCAGGTCACTTAAAAGCATGAAGCATGCTTTTGGAGGTAGATCTGCACGTGCGGTGCCCAGCCTCTGCTCGAGCGGATTTGCAATATTTGTTCAAGTGGGTCTTCATAAACTCCCATTTCTTGAATTGCAGTGCCGTAATTAGCAGCGAGAGATATGGATGATGCAGTTGATCATTATGTTGTCCTGGGGCTACCATCGGGTGAAGAAGGGGCTAAGCTTTCGGAGAAAGACATTACAAAAGCATATAGAAAAATGGCATTGGAATTACACCCTGACAAGAGGCCTGATGATCAGAATGCACATGCTAACATCCAGAAGCTCAATGCATCATATGCGATTCTCAAGGATGAGAAAGCTAGGAAGTTGTTTGATGATCTCCTCCGAGTCAAACATGAGAAGGTTCACCACCAATCACAACAGGATCCCAAGCGTAGGAAGATGATGTCTGATCTTGAAAAAAGAGAACGGGATGCTTTTGCTCCCGATTTGGAAGCAAAAGCTCGACAAGAAGAAGAGAGAATTGTTAGGAAATTTAATGAAGAGGTTGCTAGAATTCGGGCAACCTTTGCCAATAAAGTTGCATCAGCGACCCCAACCCCAAGGAAGGAGACGGCTGTAAGAGGAATGGAGGGTACAAATGGTGGTGGGAGTGGGTTGGACAAGGAGAAGGTTCTTAAGGTATCGTGGGAGAAGATTGGTGAGGATTATAGTGCTCAAAAACTCAGGGAGTTGTTTGAGAAGTTTGGTGAAGTCGAAGATATTGTAATCAAGAATTCCAAGAAGAAAGGTTCTGCACTTATTATGATGGCATCTAAAGATGCAGCAGTAAGTTTGTTATAAGCTTGTTACATCTTTTGACTGCTGCTTGCAGTGGTACTCCGGATGTTGTTTTACTGTTTACACAAAATTGTTTTATTTTGCAGGTTGCTGCTATTGGAAGTGTGTTTGGGGATCTCTCAAATCCTTTGCTCGTCGTGCCTCTTGAACTAGCCAAAACTACTTTTCCAAGCACCCAAAGAAGTGTTGAACCTGATGATCCAAAGACAAGTAATCTTGTTGGCATTGGACACCAGGTGTTTGAAGATTCAGTGTTGAGTAAACTCCGAAAGGTTTGGATATGTTTAAAGAAGTATTTTCAATTCTTTTTCCACCTTAATGAATTTTGTTTTTTCCTTTAGTCAATTGCTTCGTGAATAGTTGGAACATGAGCTAAAAGTTTATTTCAGTTAAATATTTATTTGTTTTTTCTCCTTCTTCGAAAAATTGGGACATGAAATTATATTTTTGTACTGAATGATAATACACTAGAAAGTACATAATTACCTTAATCTTAACTGTGGATATGACACTTGAACAGAATCAACGAAAGAAATGGATCGTATATGCCAACCTTAAGTAATTGGGATCTTGTTGAGTTGAGTCAAGTTAAGCATTTTGGGTGATACATTATTCACATCTTGGGTTTCAGCCATTAATCTTAGTTGTTAGTATCTTACGATTAAGATGCACCATTACTTCTAAGAAGGTGGTGTGTGCGTGTTGGACATTGGCACTCATCCGACAATGAACACTTCCTGATATGTGTCAGATACTCATCCAAATATGTCCTTTTATTTAGGGCACTTAGGGTAACATGTGTCACATAAAACTAATTATAAGTTTGAACTAAATAACTTAAGATACAATGATAAAAGAAAAACAATAAATGGGGCCAACCCTCCCGACCCGGTCTGGGTCACCAGTTTTGCTGGTTCAATCACCGGGTCACTGGTTTTCACCAGTTTTGCTCCCACTCCGGGTTTAGGGAGTTGACCGGACCGGAACAAGGCCCGGTCCAATCAATCTGACCGGCCGGTCCGGTCCAGGTTTAAAAGCATTGCATCAAAGGTCTTATAATAAACGATTTAAGCCATTAAAACGAGACCTCGTTTGGCAAGTGCCCATTTTAGCCAAAAAGTCAAAAAATTATTAAAAAAATCAAAAAGTCAATAATTCATACCAAAAAGTCAAAGATTCTCTTTTCTCTCTCCTTTTTGCACATCTTTTCGTAAAAAGCCAAAAAATCATCCCAAACATATTAGTTTTTTTTACATCACATTTTAACAAAAAAGCCAAAAAGTTACTAAAAAAGCATGTTCCCAAACGAGGCATTAGAATGGTCCCAAAACCATGACAGCACTCATCAATTTAGATTGTAGATTGGGGAGAATCTGTTCTCATAGTTGGAATTGCTTTTTTCAAAGTTTTTTTCAGTATTTTTTTAAAAAAAAAAAAAAAAAACTTAAAACTTTTAATTTTCTATTTAATTAGACACACTGGAAAATTTTGAGTTTTTAAAAAAATATTACAAAGAACAAAAAAATAGTTAAAAATAGTTAACACTATTTTAATATTTTTTGCCTTTAATTTTTATAAAATTTTTAATTTTTTTTAATTTTTTAAATTCATCTCCACAAGACATAATTTTCAAAATGTATTACTAAAGATTAAAAAAAATGTAATCAAGTTTGCTTCGATTACAAACTAAAATACAATATTTTACCAACCTATACACACATGTGAGTAGTTGGTAGAATACTCTGTTTGGTTTTTAAGTTTTATATTTTTTGTATTTTGCTTTTTTTAATGAATTTTTTCATATTTAGTCAAAAAAAAAAAACTTTTAAATGCACCTTAAAAGTAAATTTTTTGGGGAAAAATCTAAAAAAGAAAATTCAATATATACAAAATGTACTTTTTTTCAATTTAGTGAATTTTGTAAATATTTTTCCATAAGTATTTTACTATTTAAATACATTTAGGTTAGGTATATCTAACATATTAAAAAAAAATTATTTAAAATATTTAAAAAATTAATTAAAGGTACAAAAATGCAAAAAAAAAAAAATGTAAAAACTCAAAAAATGTATGTGAAAATAAAAAAATAAACAGAGTATTGACAGTTTAATTTCTACCTCTATCTTTTTTTAGTAACAAAATTTATTGAGAAAAGACACTTGTAACTCTTACCAAAATTTTTTAACCTACACTTATTTATTTGGGGAAATTGCATATCAACGCAAGTTTTTTTTTTTAAAAAAAATAAATAAAATTATAATAGAAGGAAAAATTTATCAATTTTAATAGTAATTAAAACTATAAGTTTTTTCATGAATTTATAAATATTTTGTAGACATTCCACTTATTTGCAATTTTTCCTAGTTATTTGTTAATAAAAATTTCAATACATTATTACAAACACATAGCAAAGCTGAAATTTACTGGATATTAATAAGATACTATGTGAAATTTCATGGGTTACTTTTAAAAAATTCATTTAAAAAAAATTGTTATTGACATTCATTTTAAGTAGGGGGCTAGTCCAAAAATCCTCGTTTGGCAACTTTCAGTTTTAATTAAAAAGTCAAAAAGTTACTATAAGTTGTCACGATACTCTCTCTATTTTTCTGCATATCTTTTTGTAAAAAAATAAAAAAATTACTAAAATAGTTTATTCTCAAACGAGACCTATGCCTTTTAAGGCTACAGAACTAGATGTGTTTTGTTTGGGTTCATAACGACATTAAGTCTATCGGCCCAAATTAGCATTATGTTTGGATCCACAAGGTATGTAGATGCCTATACAAGGAAAGAAAATGATGGCCGAGAAAGTTTGAAAGAGAGACTGAGAGAATCTGGTGGCCTTTGAGCTGTGATTTAGTTGTCTCTCTCTTGTCTCCTCTCTCTTTCTCTCTCTCTCTCTCTCGCGTGCGCGCACACACACATACGTACGCTTTACCGAAAATCGCTAGAAAAAACCATCCATCCTCATTTTCTCTCTCCCTAAACACCCAACCCAAATCTCCATCTCTCTTCTCAAATCTCCCCTATTAGCATCTCATATTCCTAATTTAAATCCATATAGAGAGAGAGAAAGAGAGAGAAATATCAATGTCTCATGTGAGATGAAGAAGACGACTACCTATCATTTCTACTTCAATCTTATCTCGCTACCACTACCCATTTTCTCATTCTCTCTCTTCTTTGCAACTGTTCGTTCTTTTAACAATGACGAATTCACAGACGTCGAAGCAATATACATCAAACAACACCAATTTATAAAGACGAGTTTGGCGACAGAGGCAAGAATGTAACGATAGATTCATCTCTGGTTTTTCGTCCCTAAATTATGCAATGCCCTCAAAATATTAACAATAGATACCCTCAAAATCCCCAACAGATATACAGAAGCTTATAGTCTCAATCATACGATAACAAGAACATTTCCAAAACTAATATTCATTCATTATTTTCCTTAAAATAAAAGAAGATGTCATATGCATTGATACATTCATTAACCTTAAGCTATGGATCTATAGTATGTGATTGATACACTTAAGGACAACGGTAACTAATTACAAGTTTATGCCTTAAAAGCTACATGTTTCCAAGACTTAGCTTGGTTACAACCCAAGTGGGTCGATGCCCAAACACAAACAAAAGCCCTATGTTATACAAAAGGCATTTATAAAACAAAATAAATGAGCATTCAGCTCCACGATCCTCCCAAGCTACACCCTTAGCAGAGGCATTTCATCAGCACTTGAAAGTTGATTTCTATATAGGGTGAGCTAATGTCTCATAGAGATAAATTTAATGCTATGTATGATACTTAACAAAGCTATATGGTGAATGTATATGAATATCATTTATCAAAACAATATACATTTTCTCTTTTCAAAATAAAATGCTATGTTTATAATTCAATTCATAAAACACACTAAGAATCTCTAGGTACGTGTCTACTAGTAGGTTATACAAGTACTGCCATAGTTATTTTACCGATACTAATCGGAAGGAACAGTACCTAACTACGCGGGTTTCTAGACTTTCACCAAAGACACATAGGCCAACATAATAATAACCACAACCACACCCCTAACTATATTTACCAAGGTATTTATTCATTTTTTTTCAAAACGATACATTTTCAATGTATAAATATGAAACAAAGTGTTCAAATGCAATGCATAAGTGAATGGTTTCAATTAACCTAGTTTACGTGCAATTTCTATAACAATCAATATTATCCTCTACCGATAACCAAAACAGATATCTCTATTCAAAAGATAAACTTCAAAAGATAGATAAAATTTCATAATTTCAATATAAGAGTAACAACACATGTTCAACTTCACTTTCCAACCCAACATATACTACCAAAATATCATTTCAAAGATTTCAACAACTGTCCATTTTTCCTTAGTTCAAATCATGAATCCCTAAGGATTTTTCGATATCACAAACATATATTCCTTTCACATTTCATCTTTTAAAAGTAATACCCTCAAATCTTAATACTATAAATAATTGTAATATCATTTCAAGAAAAACCCCTCTTTTATAACCCAAATCAATCCAAATCCAACCCAAGTCAAATCTAAAACTCTCAAAAAACTACTCTATTCAAAGAGCATATAACGAAGTTAAATACCATGCAACAACATCAAAGAAATCATTACCTCAAAGTAAAAAGAGAGGAAAAGAACAATCCCAAAAATGATGGAGAAAAAAACTTGAACTTTTTCAGATTAAAACGATCACTTCTTCGCGCTCTACCATTTATCTCAAAGCACCAATGTGGCAAGATTCACGAATTTGAATGTATAAGGAGGTTTATGTATGAACTAGGCAGAGAGAAAAGAAACTGGGTCTGGACCCTTTTAAAGGTAGAGAAGTTAGAAAAAGTGATAAAAATATCTTTTTCCATAGCTTTTTACAGACAGATCGCTCAAGAGACTAAAACAACGCTCGAGCGTCAGATACAGAACATCGCTTGAGTACCAAAACTTGGCTAGAGTGAAGAAACCAAACTTTTAGAGGATTGACCTTGCAGAACAGACCGCTCGAGTGACCAAAACACCGTTTGAGCAAATAATAGAAACTCTTAGTATTTTAGATTGCAAACAGACCACTCGAGTGACCAACATACCGCTTGAGCGAAGAATTACCCTCTCCCAGAAGTTTAGACTTCAAACATTGAAACTAGAAGAAATCGAAGACTGCTTAGCCAAAGAAAAGGTTGTTCGAGTGAATCCAAGAACAAACAAATAGAATTTTTCTAGAACAACTAAGTTCCAACCTGTTTCAAACATAACCAACAATCTAAATTTACACTCCTTATAAAAAACAAGGACTAGAACAAATATAAACAACATCTATATATACAAAACTCAAAACCATGGAGTATAAATGGGTTGGGTCATAACCCAGGTCGCTATAATCTATCTCTCTTCACTCAATCTTCGAAACCTCTATTTTCTACATAAATGGTCGATTCTTCTAGGGTTTCATTCACCATATGAATATGTGAAAATTCTTAAGTAACTAACTGCTTTGCTGAATTGTTGTTTCAACAGATAAAATAAAAATTTGAACGTATAAGTGGTATTTATGGAACTAAATCTGTTAGTGGACTTTTGATCAACAAATTCAAGAAAGTGGTCCTTATGTCCCCAACATATTCATTCATTGTCTTCAATGACTTATAGGGTTGGGAATTTGGATTTATTAAGGATTTGCTCTTTGAAGTATTGGTTTCTCCTTACAAAAATTGAATCTTTGGCACATATTATTTTTTTCAATGAACTTAATTTTTCTATTTGAATCATCAATTATCATTTATTGTTAAATAATCTATTAATATAAACATAATAGAT